CTTTGGGATCCAATCACGGAGACAACCACCAGCAGCAGGAGGCCGAGGCCCAGGGAGAACAGGAGGAGGCGGGTCCAAGAGAAGATATCCCACAGGAAGGACTTGGGGGGAGCCGCTGAAAGAAAGAGGGTGTCAGAACCCAGTGGATCCAGATTGTAAGAGAGAAAGGGAGGGAAAGGGTTTCTGGGGTGAGAGGGCTAGTGAAGGCTTGTCACTGGAAGTGTAGGGGACACAGCTAGGGAGTAATGGGACTCTGGATACCCAGGCATTTGATGCCTCCAACGCACTGGAAATTTGCAGTTCCTTTGACCTCTCATAGCCCTGGGGATGTGTTTAACAGCTGCTCAGAATCCACATGCATATAAGCAAACAGAAACAAGCAAGGTCTTGTAATCAGAGAAGAGGGGCATGAGGATACCAATAGGGCACAAATAGGAGCAGCCAGGTCCCTAACAGATTCACACATCTCTGCATGATGAAATAAGTTCCCCTCCAAACTCAGCTACCCGAATTGCACACTCTTCTTCTCCCCCACAGAGCACAGGAAGCCAAATCACTGAGGTCTTCCTTGGCCCCATACAATGGGCCCTCAGTACTAAGTTCTGACGCCACCAGAGTGAGGCACATAACACTGCCCAGGGTGGATACATACATAGACTATGACAACAGAAATTCTAGTACACACATGAAGAGGACCTGTTGGGAACGAGTGTCTGCTTTTCTCTCACCTTTTCCAATCTCTGGGTTTTTCTCCTCGATTCCTGAGTTCTGGAAGTTTTCGTATGTAATTGTCATGCTTGGGCAAACACTAGGCCTCTGTGGCTGTCTGAACTGAAATTGAGAGACAGGATCCAGGCTGATACAGAGCTGGGACCAAGGAGAAAGCTAGAAGCAGTGAGGAACTGAGATAAGGTCTGGAGCTGAGATCAAATATGTCATGTGCTGTAACTAGAATGAAAAGGCCTGTGAGGGCTGCAGAGATGACTCAGTAGTTAAGAGCACTTGTTTCTTTTTCAGAGGACCCAGACTCAGTCTCCAGCATTCACATCATGGCTCACAACTATCCGTAACTCTAATTCCAGGAGATCTAATACCCTCTTCTGATCTCTGTGGTCAACAGGCACATACATAGTGCATATACATACATGCAGGCAAAACACACACATTAAATAAATTGAAAATTAAAAAGGGGGTAACATGCAATTGTACTAGAAATGGGTTCAGGATTGGGCTTAGTACCATGGTTCAGTTGAGTTTGGAAAGTGGGGGTAATGCCAACAGCTAAACTTATTGCTGCTATTGCTACGTCTCACATGGGCCTGTCTTGATACTGTGCCCTTTCCTTGGGATGGCATCTGCACTAGACTGGAGCCATGGGAGGAACTAGGCCAAAGCTTGCAGAGAAACTGGAAGCAGAATAGGGATGAATTCAGTTTTCAATCAGGGCTGACTCAAATGTTCAAACTGGATCTAGGACTGAAACTGAGATTAGGAAAGGTGGGCGATGACTGGGTTGCCATTGAGACACAGCTGGGGCCACGTATCTGGGTCTTTGTCTCACTTGGGATTGTGCCAGCCACAATCCAATCTAGAATCCAATAAAGGGAAATTAAGCCCCACACTATCCTCTTGTATCTCTTCCCACTTAGTGCCACCAATGCCCAAAGCCCGCCCCCATCTTCTAACACATTCCCTGTCCCACTGGTGAGGCCAGTCGGGTTACCTGTGAGAAGTCTGGAGACTGTGACTCTTGGCTTCCCTGTGCAGCGATGATCAATCAGGGGTGTGAAGTCGGTCAGAGTGGAGAACTATATCCCAGAGGGCTGGTGTGGGAGGAGCCAAATCAGAAGTCACTAACTAGTACACATGACCAAGTGTTTTTGTGTCTGGCAGTTTTATACTTTGGGACATCCAATTTTAACTTTTAACAGTAAATAGTACTTAGTGGATTACGACTGGTACACGTGCAGGCTGTGTGTGTTGGGGGAGGGGTTGGGTTTGGGGCTAGCTTTGCACTTATTCTCAAGGGTGTGCCTTTTCCCATTCCTCTTTCTGGGAGCTCTCATGACTTCCTCATTTTTAGAGTGTTGGGGTAGGGGGTTGACCGGAAAGAACACTCTGTTGTTTTCTCTTACGCCTTACGTCTTCATTCATTTCCTGCCTATGTATTTCCAAGAATTGTTGGCATCTCCATCATTTACCCTCAAGCTCAGAGCAGCCTGTTCTCTCATCATGAGTCCACAGTATCTGACTATTTCCATTAACTAGCTCAGGCTCCTCTGATCTATAGGGTTAGGAATCGTCACGAGTTGGCAAGTGGCAGCCCTATGCCCTTGGATGCTCAAAGTTCAAGTCCTGAACTAGAGGCTCGTGTTTCCAGGCTCTAGAGGCTAGATTTACAGCTTGGGGTGCTCAGATTGGAGGGGACTGTTGCTTTGGGATTTGATTGTTGATGGCCTGGCACCCAGCGGCTTGAATAATCCTGAGCTCTTAGAAGCCTTGAGTGCTGGCTAATGTCACATCTCTCAAGTCTCAGGTGTCAGGACTCTTGGTTCTTAGGGTTTAGAAGCTCCATGTGACTCTTCCAGGGACCATGGCTTGCAGTCCTTTGTCTTTGTCATTTCACAGCCTTTCCTATAATGCATTGTCCTTTTGTTATCTATGCCCCTCTGCCTCCTGCCACCCTTGTCCCTGGTCACTCTTCAGAAGCATTTAAGTGTCCTCTTGCTACTAGTGTTCCTCTTGTCTCTTCCTCATGTTGCCAGTCCAGAGCCTGCTTTACGTTCAATGAAAATCAAAAGTAATTAAAGAAAAGGATATTTGGGTGAACCCTTTAATTGGGCCTAAATTTGCAGCACCTGGAGCAGCCCTTTAGGGTTTCTCCTTGATATGTAGAAGAGTGAGCCAAATAGCCTGCTGCTTTAGCCAGAAAGGGGGTATACCAGAGATGTTTTTCCCAATCATGACATGGTCCTTCATGCAAACAACAGGATGTATTTGCATCAGCCATGTGCTGTTATCTATGCTATCAGGAGAAGTCTTCTCCTTCTGACCAGGGTGAAAATGGCTGCTAGGGTTCACTGAGGCTTAGATTAGCACAAGCTGTTTGAGTTATATCTGCCTCTGAGAGCTGAAGTTGACAAGCAGCTGTGGTCGAAGTGTTCAAAGTAGCCAGATCCGCACACTTGGCTGATAGTCCTCTACTCAAGGTAGCCTGGGTGTCAGAGAGAGGTATAACACCTCTTACTATCACTTAAGATAAATTGCCATAACTGTCAACACCATGGCTGACTGAAAGAGGAAAAACAATTATGCCAATCATCAACAAGCAACAAACAAGTGTTAATATAACATTTCCCTTGTTAACAATTCAGTCCCAACAAGCAATGTGAGTGGCATTTGAGGGATGTTTTGTGGCTTAGGACATTTTATGACACATCCTAAGTCAAAAGGCTCTTGCAAGAGACAGACAGAAGTCAACCCCAATGTTGCCACCACCCTGGCCTGCCTCTCTGAACACGTTCTGTCTTCAGGACTTGTTTCCAATTCATCAATTCTGTGAGTGCCCTGAAAAGACTGTCTTGAACACATCCTTTTGAAGTGGCTGTTGCTTGTTAAATTAAAAACTAGATCAGAGGTCTCCCTCTGTATGAGCTCATCAAGTGTGCTTTAGTCGTTCATGTCTTATTTCATCACATGTACAATTATTTAAACATTTCCCTTTTTTTGTTGCTATTTTTTTTCCTGAGACTAAGTTTCCTCTGTGTAGCCCTGGCTGTTCTGGAACTTGCTTTGTAGACCAGGCTGAACTCAAACTCACAGAGATCTGCCTGTCTCTGCCTCCTAAGTGCTATGTAGGTTGTTTCCAATTTGTTTCTGCTTTTGCTTTTGTCAGTGCTCTGATTAGCATGTTTTTAGTCAAAGATAAACGCTATACTTTGGATCTGTGATGTCCTCCATGGACCTCATATTAGAGGCTGGGTCCCCAGCTTGATACTATGGGGAGACAGTGGAATGTCTTAGAGGGAAGGCCTAGCAAGATGTCTTCTGGACTGGGAGGGCTGGAGGACAGGGGCAGTGGGGAACAGAGTCATGCCCTCTAAGGGGAATTATGGGACCAAAACCACTTTCTCTTTCACTTCCTGGTCATTAGGTGAAAGGTTTTGTCTGCTACACCATTCTGACTCACCACAGGCCCAAAGCAATGAGGCCTGTCAATTGTGGACTGAATCCTCTAGAAGTGTGACAGCTTTCCTTGTGAGCTCCCTTTTCCTAGGCATTTGCTTTAGTGAGATAAAGCTGACCAGCGTAGCTTGGCTTTTAGAAGCTAACACTGAAACTGAACCTAGTTATGAACTGTTTATAACAAGCATACCCTAATCGGGTGGAGAAAGGAGCAAACTGAGGGAGACCTGATGCAGTTTTAACTGTCCATTTGGAGAGCTCAAGTGGTTCATGCAATATTTCCACCCAAATTGTTCAGCATTGGACTGATGGGGTGGGGGTGGGGGCAGATTTCCAGAAATAAGATTACCTCTTCCCCAGGGTTGTTTGTTATCGCTCTTTGCCCCTGCTGCCACACTTCAACTTAGTGGTTTTCCTGACTTAAGTCTACACAATTTGTATTTATTCTCGGGTGTGGCCCTGATGTCTCTGGTTCCTTAGCTCGGTAGATGGCTAATGACAGAAGAAAGAGAAATCTCCCGGTCTTTGCCGAGGGCCTCTACATGAAAACCCTGCAGCAGCCTTCACTACCTGTTTGCTCAGAGCCTCAGGCTTAGACAGCAACGTGAGACTGTCAGGCTCTTGGTGTATAGACAACTGAGCACATGCATGTGGTCTTCTAGATCCCCCAGAATACTTTGCAGCTTCTCTAATCACCTGTGAAAATTGCAATAAACCACATGAGAAAGGTACAGAAAGCCATGCTGATTAAGCCAATTAAAAGTATATGAGTCCTTTATTAGCCAGCGACAAAGAGAGGACTCAAGCCTCAGAGTCTCTTGGCACCCAAGTTCAGGGGTACAGTGTTTTTAAAGGGAAAAAAACTCACATCAAAGGTATATGAGGGTCAGAGTAATCTTTAGTAATAATTTCAGATATAGCATGACAATTATTTTTGACTAATACCGTTTTCAGTTGTTTTAGGTTCCATGAATTATTTTGGTTAATACATGCAGACCACGGTCAATGCCATGGAAATGTCAAATGTGTGGCCAAGGCAGGGGTGAGTGGTGGAGAGCTGAGAGCTAAGCAAACACAAGACGGTGTCAGCACAAGATGGTGCGACTTTAGTCACTTCCCCATTTCTTTTTGTGACTCTTAAATCTTTGATTTTTATGAAGGGTCAGGTACTGGGTAACAATCAATTAATGAACCAGGGCCCAATCAGTAGACCTTGGAAGAGAAGGACAAGAGGACCCATGGGGCCTACGAGTAAGGTGGCAGCCATGGAATCCAATTAAACCAGCTGCAAAACAAAGAACTGTTGGCCTTTTTTATTTATTATTTATAAGGGTCAACTGCTTTTTGGATGTATAACCAGGCATAATTTATTAAAGAAATTAGATTGTTTTTTATAAACCTATTATTTAGATACAGCGGAGCCAATAACTTTTTGTGTTAATGTCAAGTCTTGGGGAGCCATCAGCATTAGCCCTTAGGGAACATTATGGCTAATATTACTGTGAGAAATGGATTTAATCCCCAACTCCAAATGGCCACAGGTGAGTTTCTTAAGCTTTGCCTTGAGAAGTTCCATGGGCTTCTGGGTTTCTAACATGAGCCAGGGTGGA